GTATTCAGAAAAGCGCTCTTTTAAATAAAATGTATTATTATTATTATTATTATTATTATTTCTCACACTTGCACTAAACCCCTGTCCTTGTGGTTTTGGGTTTGGAAAAGCTAAAGAAGAGACACCAACTCTGTATCGCTCATACTACGGCCCATGCACACTTAAATGTGGAGAAATCTGAAGCTTGATAGACCTGCTGGGGTTTAGCAAATTATTGGTTACTTCTGTTTGGTTGTTGATTCATTCAGTGTCAGTAAGGGTCATACATTACTTAATGCACCTTTAATTAGGATTGTTTTGGCCTCACAGATGCAATTTCTGATGTTTTTCTAATCTAGTAAAGACGGAATTCCCTTCTTGATGCATGACAGTGTCTTCCCTGGGTTCTTGCTCAGAACGACAGATATTAAAGACAAGTTCCCTGAAAAAGCCAACTCCAGCAACAGCACCAACTTCACCTGGGAGGAATTACAGAGTCTGAATGCAGGTGATTGGTTCGTAAAGGTGAGGGTTGTGCTTTGATACATGTGTGCACACAATCACTCATAAAGATTTGTGTTATCATGCAACATGCTCCAGTCACAGAAATTGTTATCTGACTCTCCAGACAGATCCTTTCCACTCAGTGTCCTATCTCTCAGAAGATGAGATAGAAACAGCCAGGAATCAGACGGTACCCTCCTTACGTCAGCTCCTCAACCTCGCCATGGAGCACAACATCTCAGTTATATTTGACCTATATAGTCCTAACAAAGAAAATGAAACAGTCACAACCATCTTGCGTTCTGGCATTGACCAAAGCCGGGTAAGTTTAATTCTAAACCCTCTGATGGATTTTGTTTGAGATCTTTCACTATAAGGCATGTTTTGTTATGGTGCATATTTTTTCTTTTCATAGGTCCTTTGGCTTCCTCATGCAGAAAGAGACAATGTAAAGAAGATTGCTCCGGGTTTCATCCAGGTCTATCACAACAGTAATATGCTTAGCGTAAACAAGGGAAACTACCTGAATGTGAAATACAGCGAGCTAAATATGGCAGACATCAGGTAAAATAAAAACAAAAAAAACAAATATGAAAATATACACCCATGTTATCTATGTGGTAGTGCCAGGAGGCATGCACAGAAGTGTGTTAATTAGTAGTGTGTGTGCAGCATGCTGAGACATAGTGCTGGCGCTGAATATGGAGACGCAGGTTGGGCCCCTAGGGAATGAGATTCAAATAATGTCCCAACCCAGGAGTGCTCTTTTGTGCATAAGGAAACCAACCATAAAAAAGTACTAAAGAATGAAATGCAGTGTAGCAACATGTTTTGAGAAAGCACTAAAGCGTTGCCTTGAGTGCTAAATGAGCTCACTGTGCAGGACTGTTGCATGCAACATATATACACACACATGCAAACATACATATACATGCAGTTACATATCTGCATACACAAATATATACTGCTTTCCACAGATTCTTCGTCCTTTCCTGCAGAAAGTTTAACTTGTCTGTTTCAAAATCTATGCTTGTATCCGACAGGGAATATCGAAGCAGTAACGTTACAGTGAACATGTGGGTGGTTAATGAGCGTTGGCTGTTCTCTCTGCTGTGGTGTTCAGGAGTCAGCTCTGTCACCACCAACTCCTGCCACATCCTAAAAGATATGGACCGGCCTGACTGGGTCCTGGTAAGCAATACGTAAAGCTGCATGTACATTAGCTTGTGCTTTACTTTCTTTAGCTTTCCATTTCGCTAGCCACCATTAAATACCATCAGTCGAAACACTTACTGTGGAGCTGACAAGTTTGGACGAGTGGTATAAAATTAAAAATATGTGACACACCTTGACCCAGTGAGCATGTTTTTGTGTGTTTCAGGCGCTTCGGACTTACAAAATAATATGGATTACAGTGGACATTGCATCTATTGTGATAATAACTGGAATCTACATCTTGCAGTGGTAAGCAGAGCAGATGTTTGGTGTTGTATGAAAATGTGTATAAAGTGAATAGACTGACTCTTCCACCTCACTGTCTCTGCCAGGAAAACACACTGTTTCTCTCACAGAAAAGGTACTATTTTAGTTATTTATTAATTAATCATTAAGTCTATAAAATGTTTATTAATATTTCCATAAGCCCCAGGTGACATTCATTGACATTTCAGTCCAAAACTCAAATATTTTCAGTTCACTATCGAATGTTTGGTCTTTTTTCTTCACAAATGACTTAAGCGTTTCATTGATTATGAAAATGGTTGCAGTGTTTGGAGTAACCTATAAACTGACTAATTGTTTCAGCTCTAGTTAACACATTGACAATAATCATGCTAACTACCTACTGGTATTTACATGATCAACAAGTGTTGCACACAGTGTTACTCATATCTTGATTCAAGTGAGTCATCCATCACATTATAGTAGTAAATGGACATCAAGTTATCTTTTGGTACCCTTTACAAGAGGTAAATAATGGCTTAATTAACAGTTTATAAATCATTAAAGCTTTATTGATCAGTTAGCCCATCAATAAGAACTTTGGATGGCAAGGTAGTAAAAAACATTTTTACTTCCATTTATTAACAACTTCTTAACAAAACTGCAAACTTGATATATTAAATGTTCATTTATTAAAGATTATATCATGGTTTGGTGGAATGGGAGAAAGAAATCAAAATGTACTGAAGTATTTACCAACATTATAACATCATCATTAACAAATAGAAATGATAAGTACCAGATAAATGCTTTCACAGCCTGGTAATTCAACTGTTGTTCTTAATAGTTTAGGACTGATCTATAAATTATTTATTAACCATAAAGAAAACTGTTAGTTACAGCTTATAACCCCTTTATAAATGGTGCCTTATTAGAAAGTGGTACCAACGTCTTTACTGAAATATAAGTGGAATATAACTGTTTTTTGTACACAGGGGCAAGAAACACAACTACACCGGACTGGAAAGAACTGGCTCCCTTTATATCCAGTAGGTAGTTGGCCCGACTGCAGCAGGAAACTCTTCTGCCCCAAAACTGACAAACATCCTTGTCTGCACTGCCAGAATGGTTTGGACCTAGATAAGGAAGAAAGCACTGAATAACCATACACTGTATATTGAAGCCGTGAAAATAAGAATGTTCATAAAATGTGAATCAAATATTGTCACTGTGCCACTGGATGGCGTTTTTTTAGTTTTTTATTCCAGTATAAGTCTAGCTGGTTAACTGGGTTTATCTTTCACCGGGTTTTGATTATTCTTCTGTTGCTGCTAAAAATATGAAGCTTTCCTCTGACTGTATCATTGCAGGGGTCTCCAACCTTTTTGAGTGAGAGCTATCTAAAGGGCTACTCTGTATACTTGACGAACATACATGTTTCAATAGAATAACATAGCAGTGTGTGTAATTTCACCTTTAGTGGTTTACATATACAAGGCTGAACCAATCTGATTTGGAATTGCTGGAGTTATTTTTTCTCTGGTTGCATTAACACTGAAGCATCTCATGAGAAATATAGTGATATGAACTATGAGTTTTTTGGCCACAATAGAAAGCCTTTTTACACTTCCTTGTAAGTGGCACAGAAAAGAAAAATACTTAAGATTACAGAACATGCTCTGTTGTCAGCTCATAGGCTACTTGGAGACCCCTGTATCGTTGCAACGTGCACTATAGATCTGCACTGGATTTCCTCTTGACACTTGTTGTTCTTTTTCCGTTGTTTCTTTTTGTTACAAAACTTTTTTTTAAATCACAGTGTCATGAAAAGGGGAGTATTTGAATGAAAGATGCACGGACACAAACTTTCCTCAGATCAGGTGTGTAAATGACTGAAGGGAGGAAGTGAGGTTCACCTTAACATAGTTCAACATCACCACTTCAGGAAAGAATAGTATTTACTGTAACCTGAGCCAAAAGCACAATTGTATACACTGTCACACTCTGTATTTAATCAGTACATATCAGTTCCTTGTTTCTTTATGTAACAACATAAACAATAAAAAAATAAAAATAATGAGTATTTTATACAACATGTTTATGCACTGTGGTCTTTGTTTTCTTGTTTCTATTGTTTGTAAAACAATGGGCGTCACATTTTCTCTGCAGCCTGCATAAGAAATACAAAGGACCATTGTGTGCCCTTGAGACTACAAAAGTGAAATAACAATTTATGAACAGGATTAAATAGAAAATAAAATATGTCTAAAAAAATCAGTTATGCTTATTTAAAGATTCATGCCATGCTTGTATATTAACCTATATTTACAATACTAAACTGCTTGTACTTTACTTGATAATTAAAATGTTACACTACTTTACACTTTTTACAGCTACCCACATGTCATCAGACCTGACAATGTCTAAAAATAAAACATGGGATGGGTTGTGAGGGTCAAAACTACTTTCTGTTCCCTCAGGGCAGTGATGTGCAGTGAGGCTTATCTGTAAAATGTGTACTGATTGCATTCCTACAACCAGAGGTGTAATAGGTAGCCGCCTCAGAACATTTACAATACGGATACAATACTTAAGTAAAATTACAAAAGTATTGGCACTAAAATAAACCTTACATTTCCAAAAGTAACCAAAACTAATCAAAAAATTGAACTACACGTACTTCTTCCCCGTCAAACCCTAGCGCCTACATAACCCATAATGCAACTCGACCGCCGAGAGTTCGGTCGGAGATTCGGTTCGGTTACGCTAGTAGCTGCTCGAGCTGGAGCGAGCCGTTAGCCCGGAGCAGAAATGAGGAGCGGGCTGCCGAGTTCAGGTAAGCGCCGTTCTTTCTAACTCCACACCCCGAGATTTTATCCACTTATAAAACTTGTAGTCTTCAGCCTCAACGGACGCTGAGTCACTAGAGGCAATTTATCAGACTTCGCACAGCTCCCTCTGGAGCCCCAAAAGGCTTTATACAACTTTTTTCCTCCCCTACACACACACATATACATGCAGTAAGCTAGTTCTCCCAAAGACCTGTAAACGGACCGAGTTCCCATTTTTACTGTATTTTCCCAGCACCACCTTAACGCACCACTAGATGGCACACGATGCAAACAAAATGGGAAAACAGGCGACTTGAGGCCGAGCAGATACACTTTTAACCACCGTTACGATGCTCCACAAATTCATCGATCACTTACTGATGATGCCACGCCACTCTAAGCTGAATACAGGTGGCATAGTTCATTTAATATATTAATATTGGTGTTACAGTGTCCCAGTGAGGACTTTGAACCACAGGGCCGTTTTTTCCACGAAGGCGAGGCATGGCTGAGAGGGGAGGAGAAACATGTCACGTTTTTGGGGCCGTTATGCCCCAAAAGAACTTGTGGAAAGTTGACATGAAGTAAACAATCCCTCCATGTCACATCTTAACCTCTGTGTGTGGGTGTGGATTCACCGCGGACCGCCGCAGTGACAGACGGGGAGTGTCCGACGACGACTGGATTTAAAACACAAAGTCAATATCTCACTAGTTTGTGAAGAGTGGAGCGACTGTAAATGGTTGTAGAGAATTATCCGGGACTATTGCTGTAATTGTTTTCGTCTTTAAAAAATAATAATAATACCCCCAAAACTGTAATTTACATGACTTTTCGAGTCGGCCACAGCATGGTTCATAAATATGGTGAGTACCGTTAACGCAACGTAACGTCTTCATCTCCCTCACGTGTCAAAAGTTTTGTAGTAAATCTCGGTTTTAGGTTTAGTTTTCTTTAAGTAAGTGCCAGCTCATTACTGCATTAAAGCTTCTGCATGGCCTCTTCACTGGTCCACTAACTCTACCTATAAACCCTTGTTGTTGTTGTCCTTTTGGGGAATGAAAAAAGTACTGTAACTAGTAAAAATGTGCAACTTCCGGGGGGGCAGCAGTTTACTTCTTCTGAGGGTTTTTTTTAATTTATTTTCGAGATGAAAATGTTCAGTATCAGGTAGGAAACTGTGAAGTAGTAGATTTACCTCCGTGATGTGCATCATCTCTCTGCTGTGTTCCTCACCACCCACCGGGTTCAACAACCAGCTGTACAGTCGTGTTGCAAGAGGAATAAAATACCTTTAATGTGCTCTGCAGGGGAATGTAACAAACAGCACTGCTGCATTTGTGTATAAGTCACATAAAAATCATTATTACTAGATGATGTTTTCTATAACACCCTAGATTTGAACTTAGCAGTGTGTCTGTGAGGGTCAACAAAATAACTTTTTTTAACCTGCTTCATTTGTAATGGTACGTTGTCCTCTATGACATGCCTTTATGGTTTTAGTATTGCATTATGTTATTGTTTGATTGTTGCCCTGTATATATTTTAGAGCTGAAAGTAATCATAGATTAAAAGAGAGAAGTTGCCAGCAACAATTGCATGATCAATTAACTGTAATTTCTGTAGCAAGATGGCACAAATTCACTGGTTCCAGCTCCTCAGATGGGATTTTCTATTTATCTTAGTCTGCTGTTAACCTAATATCTTGGATGGACAAAACACGATTTATAGATTGATTACTTAATATAATTTTTCACTACATGCTGAAATTCTATACAGTTATCAATTGATTAAGAGTAATTAATAACACAAAATAACATAGAGTTCATGAATTATTTTGTCATATTCACATATTCTATCCCAGGATTAACTTCCCTTTAAGAGCAATGCAATAAATACTAATTTGAATCCCATTCCATAAGAATATTATTGACCCTGTCTGCTGCTGTTGTCCTGAGACATGTATTTATTTTGTGAGGCAGACACAGAGAGAGCAGTGGGGCTGCTCAGACGGTACCAGGCCAACCTGACCAGTCCAGAGGAGCAGACTCTCAGGACCAGTGTGGACAAAGTGTCTGCCATCTTAGGTAGCCAGCTGTTCCAGGCCCTTCTTGGTAAGAAAAACGCCGTAAAACTGCTTGGTTTGCAGAAGGGAGTCTTTCAAAACTCTACCCTCCAGCTTAAATTACATCACCGTTTTCGTAGGGTGGACTTTCTAAATAACTTTTCCTGTTCACGCCCCCTTCTTTTTGAGTAAGGGAGCTGGTTTACAGCATGATTTGTTTGGTTTGCTACACTCAGTTGTCACATTTTATCAGTCTTTTATTCAGTGCAGCTTATTTACTTTGATTTGTGTTGTCATGTGATTGGCTGCAGGCAGACACAGGATGTAGACAGGGTCAGGTTGTATTAATTTGTATGAGAAGTTAACTGAGTCTAAATGTTTCCCAATTAAGTCTTATGAAAGAGGCCATTCAGTTTGCCTCACAAAGGTTTGCTGTATACCCCCCTCTGTAACATACTCAGATTGTAATGAAATCCCAATAAAGCCACGCACACACTGTATCTATAGACTGAGTTGTTATAAGCTTGGACTTTTCACACTGTGAAAGCACAATTCTTCCTTTGACTTTGACAAAATTGTGTCCTTTTTGTGCCATATTCTTTATGAACTTAAGTCAACATGATGTAGATCACTGCTCAGAAAGACTGAAAACAGTCGATTCACCATTACCAGAAAGCTTTAGTTATCTGTGAAGCTCTTTACTAATCATATTCCTAGTTTCTACTGCAGCTGACCTGAAGAGTCACTATTATTGTGTGTAACCAGCTACAGCTTCATGACAAGTTTGGTGTTTTGGAAAAGAGCTCAGGAGGAATCAGATAAAGCACATTACTGCCGTTCAACCAATGGTTGAGCGATCCTTTTAATTACCACACAGCCATGTTATAATGACGCTTGCCCCTTGGTCTGCTGTTGCTCCTGCCGACCCACTGCTGCTCCACTGCTGGGGAGCTCAGGGGGAGGGACAGCTCAGGCAGCAGTTAAAGAAATACACAATGACGGTTCTTACCAGTGATGAATCTGAAGCGATATTACACCCACTTTTAGCATATCTTTTTATTTGTCAGGTAGGCTTAGTGCCATTTTAACAGAGAATGAATAAGAGTTATATAAATGCATTGTTTGCAGTGCAAGGTCAATGCAAAGTTTCATGCATGAAGACAGGATTTGTGGCTGTGTTTGCTGGCCCTCCACCACAGTGAAGTTAGACTGTGGATCCCCAAGAGGTGGGAGGGACTCATTTGCTGTGTCTCATCATTTAAAGTCCACCAAATATGTCTTAAAGGGTAACTTAAAGGGTTTTCCTATCTAAGTGACTAATGGGCACAACTGTTTTTGTAATGGGTCCAGTATTGAGTGAGAGAGCTGCAGCTGGCAGACTAGAAACTGGCTACAGTGTAATCGTCCGGGGACATTGTGCACCATCAATGTGCGTCCATGTATGCTGGAAGAGTGAGGTGTATGATGAGAAGGTTTAACTTGGTTAAAATGATAAAGCATCTGAAGTAGAATTTTGAGATTTGTATTCAGGCTTGAATTAATTAGTTGTTGATCAATATATAAAAATAATTTTGCCTGTTCTTTAAGTTTGTATTCAACACAATACCTTATAATTTCAGTGAGATGACATTTATTATTTCAGCTGGTGGTTTTTCTTCATCTACCGGTCACCTTGACCGGTGAGTCAAAGATTTCAATCAGACACTGAATACAGTGATTTTATGTCACTGATCTTTGTAACATTGTAATACTAAATTCAAACTCAAGAGGAGGAGGTGGTTTGCCTGTCCCCTGTTAACAATTACTAACTTTTGTTTGGTTGATATAAACCACTTAATTCACTGAGCTGGAACAGCGAAAAGTCAAATCAAGAGTTGTATTTTGTTTCTGTCCAGTTTGAATTGTTGTTACAATGTTCTACGAGGTAAAATGACTGTATTACTGTAGGAAAGAACAGCTGTTTCTGGTTAAATAAATAGGATCTTACTCTTCAACAAAAAGGTCTATCTCTGTAGGGTCCTTTCCATAATGTTGTCAGACACTTATAATACCAATCTGAGCCTGTCAGTGGCAGAAAACAAGCACTTGCAGTGGACGCACATTGACGGTGCATAATTGCCCCAGATAATTACATTGCAGCCTGTGAGTACGCACCATTACCACGGCAGCATACACCTGTGGTT